AGCCGTTTTATTTGCTCATGTGAGATGATCTGCAAATCGGGCGTTACTTTTGGTGGCTACTGTACGTACGTACGTACGTATTTAATGTTGACTGATTGACATCATGCCAATCAATTCCGACCAATATATTAGTCAATTCGCTTAATTTCAAACGGCCTTATCGTAAAAATATAAGATTCCTGTTTTGATTAAATAGGGTTGACTTTTTTTGACAAATCAAACAGATTCTCAACACCATGAAACCCTCTATGAAGATGGTTGTGATAGCAATATTAAGAGAACAGTATGTTTACATAAGAAGAAGTGTGCCACGGGTTGTATGAGATCTATATATAGAATATGACCATCAACCTTTTGATTAGTAATTTATCTTTTCTGATTGGATATGTTGTTTCATACTTTAATATTGAAATGTGATTATCATTGAGTTTTGCCAAGGTTAGTAAAGCAATAATTTAAAACAACAATCGACTATTTGAATTAGCGTTAAAGAAATCTTTGGGGTTTACAATTGTGTCAACTGGAATTAGCGCCAGAGCGACCCCAAAGTACAGGTCACATGATCCAAACAATCGCCACAGCTATATCTTAAATAGCCAGTAGTATCAATTCGGCTGATTTAAGGAATTTGCCATTATTTAAATCCTCACATAGTATCAACTCTTTTGGTAGATTTGGGTTCCGATTATTACATATTGGACTTGGTATATAACTATGAACTGCAATTTTCAAATAAGGGTCCAATTTCTAAAAATAAAAATCCGCCGAATTGTTATATAAATCGTTTTAAGAAATTTCACCACATTCAAGAGCTATGTAAACGATTCAACAATTTTCTAACAAATTATGCAGAGGCTGTGGCGTCTTCTCATGTAATCCGTACTTTTTACCAAATGCGAAGACTTGTGGTGGATTGATGGATTAGTGGATTAAAAAAAAATAATAAAAAAATAAGTGAAGACACCATTTGTTGTAAAAAAGAAGAAAAAAAAAGACGACACCCATCAGACCTCTTTCTTAGCGCATTGATTTAGCTAGTTTCTTACAACCAGTAGATACTTACTTATCGTGGTAAAAATGTATGGGCTATCGTTATTAAATTACTCATACACTTGCTATGTTTCTATCGACAATCTCCATAGGTTGGGGAGTATATGTCTATAGATTCTTAGTCAATACATTTGGAAATCCATAGCTTTTTTAACTGTTTGACGGACAACCCGCGAGAAGTTCTAATTTATTCGGACGATATACGTAAAAAAAAGATTTTGAACAACATTAATTGCATGTAATTACTAAAGTGGGTTATTATAATAAAACTTTGCGTTATTCAATGCCGGCTACATGATGCTCAGACTATCCAAATGACATTTACCTATGCAATTAAAGTTTTTAACCTAATATTTTAGGTATTTGATATGACTAATTAACGTGGTGAATACATGATATGCTAGAGACGCTGGTGAAATTACTTTCAACTAGACACGTATTTTTGCACGCATAAAGAACACGTCCATTGTAATTAAAATTAATGAGGTTATTTAGCCTGACCATAATTCCTTGTCAAGTGCATGATCCAGTTGGTCATTTTACTAAACTTTGAAAGCATTTCGACTTAATTAGGTGTTTAGTTTAAATCATCTTTAACACTTGCTAAGTTCATATCAAGACTTTTCAATATCTGAAAATATATATATATATTTTATTAAATATTAATCTGGACAAAAGAAATCTTTATACAACTATGAACAAATATTGACAAAAATCTTTTGTTATTTAAAATACAAAGGTCGTCTACGCATCTTGTTTAATGCATTTTCAAATAATTCACGACGAATAAATGAATAATCTTTTTTGGCAAATTTTTCGATCTGCAAGTCTGAATCCATAATGACAATTGTAGGTGTCGTAGGTGTTTTTACTTTTGGCGAATTTGCCAATGGAGGACTCGTAATTGTGTCATGATTTTCTTGTATTGTTGGTGTGTTTAGTGTGGGTGGAGACAAAAGACCATTCCGAGTTGAAACTGTCGTCAGAAAACTAGGTGTATTTGGTGGAACTACTAAAGTTGATGGTGTAGTTGGTGATGCAACTAGTTTGTCCGGTGTGTTTGGTGTGTTTGGAGTGCTTGGAGTACTTGGAGTGTTCGGAGTGTTTGATGAGTTTGACATGCCTGGTGTGCTTGGTGTGGTCAGCACAGTTAATCTCTGTTCAACAAATCCAGTTTCGCTCACGGACTTTAGATTTTCACGCAAAGATCCATTTTGTACAATACAAGCTGAATTTGATATCGGCATCTGTTTAAATTTAACGCTCTTTGGGGGATGAGGAATAGAACCTAATTGAATATTTGGTAAGGAACGAAAGTATGCAGACCCTAATGGAGTCGGCGGTTCCGCATGATCCAAAGACGCAGTCAAAGGTGTATTGGGAACGGAAAATGAAACATGACGAGGAGTTGGTGTAGTTGTGGAATTTATCCAATCCAAAATATTTGCCCGTTTGGTTGGAGATTCATTACCCATATCATCATCGAGTGATAATTCTTCCCACACTTCATCTTCATTCATATCATTTAATGATTTTAATTGTTTTCCTCTAAAGAAAGAGATCAAAATTTCTTTTGCAGCATCTTCATTAACTGATTCTGCAAGTCTTTTTACAAAATTTCCGGGGATTACTCCCTCAACAAACAAATGATTAGACAAGATGCCAACACGTCTTTCTTCCACTGACAGTCCAAAATAGTAATATACCAAGATTTGATCCACAGCACCACGAAATGGTTCATAAAGATCCAATAAAGTAGTGAAGTTTAGCAATGAAAAGAAATCTTGATAGGTTCTAATCTTCGATGCCAGCGAAGAAGTTAAAACATCTTTTATGTCGGCAGAGGCATATAACCAGTCCAAAGATGCATCAACAATGTCTAAACCGCCATGTACCGGAGCTTCGATACAAAGCATTGGCAAACCATTAGCTTCTTCGATTGAATCAGAATTCAAAGAAGTATTCGAAGCTAGTTGAGCAAATTGAGTAGACAATTTATCAAAAAGAGCAGATTTCTGCATAAGATATTTAGACTGTTGGACGGTAATTTTATAATTCTTTTTTAAATGAGGTTTATCCGATGTTAAAACTTGCAACATAAAAAGAACTGTAGAAGGCAAGATTAATGATGGTGATAGAATTTGTGTCGTCTTTGACACGACTTCGAAAGGAAGAGCCCTGACATTAAGCGATGTAGTTCTGGTTGGCATTATTAATTATTAATTATTATTATTATTATTATTATTATTATTATTATTTATTCTATTGTTTGCAAAAAAAAATGCAAAAGACGAAGAAAGATAATAAAGAGAGCAAAACAAAAGATCAACTTTTGTGTAAAGAGCGAAAGAATCTCACAGAGAATAAGTTAAAGTGGGCAAATTTTGGATTACGGTATTTAATTAGTTTTGGGGTATTTATCTTATTTTCTTTCCTTGTACTAGGGTAAGGATATCGATATGCATTATATAAATAAGTATTCAAAAATAAATGCACTTAATAATGAGCCAATAATCATTCTAATTATTAACTTCAATGATAATTCTTCGTGATTAGAACAATTCTTTCCTTGTTATGCAAGCTATTTTTGGAAATTGCTAATTAATTAATTTTATTTCTTTTCTTTTTTAAGGGTAATCAAAAAAGAAAGTACGTATGCCACGATCGGTCCATGTGTAACATTATGTGTCGTATTAAGATTCACTCGAGTTACATTGTAAGTATCGCAAATTAGAAACTGTACTTGAATGCATCATTTGAATATTCTTGATATTTTGGGATATTAAGTATACGAATGAATATTATTTGAACTGAAATTTAAAGTACATGCACATGTATATCCTTCATAGTCAAACAGATCATGCATCCTTGATTGTAAACTAATGTTCCAAGATGTTATAGTGCGAATTATAACAGTTTAACATCTCGTCATAAAACAAATAAATCCGTATTTTTACTGCAGTTATTATTAGCTCATTACTAATATATTAATAATTGTTTTTTCATCTGTATTTTATGTCTTCATTGCTCTATACTAGCGCTAATTACCGTTTAAAATCCATATATATAATTAAAATAAAAGAATAAAACGCCACAAACAGGCCCGTAATTTGTTTCAAATGTGTACATAAATCTAAATGAATAACTTTCTTGATCAACGTCTGGTGTCATAAGATCTAACTTCTACACTGTAACACGTTTCATATCTTAACAAGGAGTAATAAAGAGCAAAGTTTTGTTTTTTTTAGCATCTTGTATTGTTTGATCATTTTCTGTTGCACTAACCCACTGAATTATATTCCAGATAAATTTTTATCCGACAAACACACATGGTCATGGTGTAACAACGCATATTTATCCTAGGTGCCGCACAATAAATGCATAGCTCAAAAAATTTGGCCTGCGTTAAAATAATTTAGGCCGATGGTTTTTAAAATGGATCAAATATAGTTATAAGGGACCCCTATAGTGTACTTGATCTAAGGGTATCGGTATTACCCTGCTTAAATGTTCAAATCTGCTTATTGAGATTTGCATATTAGTATGATTACTTTTTGATGTGACTAATTGGACTTATTCATAATGCTTTTAAAGAACATACTTTATTTAATGGTAGTCGATAATTTAGCTCAATACGAAGTAGCTATTACCATTTTAACTCCGTTTATGAAACTGTTTTGCTTAAAACTGTTTTGAACAATTATTTGTTTCGATTATAATTTTTTTTTAATTTTTGCTGATATTCAAGTTTGTTGTTAATACCTTTTCAAATAAAGTTACTTATTATAACAAATTAATATACTCTATTTTCAACAAGTTATTTGAAAGGCTATTTTATGTTATACGAAGCAGAATAACATCCCTAATTCGATCCTTTTAAAATTATTAATTTTTACATACTAAAACGCACCTATAATGTTTTACCACATATTGTGTTTTTACAGATTTTTCTTAATTTTTAACACAAATTTTTAAGAACTAATATTTAAGGTTAGAATTGGAGTTTGAGAAAGGTTTGGGGTTTAGAGCGTTTTTACTTAGAACACCTCACACCGATTCATTAGCCAGTTTTTGAGATAATACAATATAGTAGTAAAACACCATAGGCAGATTCTGCAGGAGTCAATTAGGGCGTTTCCCAACTATACTTGTTGGCAAAACCCGGACAAATCCCAAACCCCAAAAATACAATTGTTATTTATAAAAAATTGAATCAAAAAAGCAATCTTAAAATTTGGCAAATATATTATATATGGCTATAAATATGTATCTGATTTGTTTAAATAAAGATTTTAAAGATATGAGTTGGGATTTGGGCGCCCAAACCAAAACTATAATAGTTTGGGATTTTGCCAACATGTATATTCCCAACCCCAAAGTGCGGATCGATGATATAGCAACAGCATAAAATAACCAATCGATAACAAGCCATAATTAGATTTGTTTTTACCTTGAAGCCATTAATTTGTATAAATATTTTAAGCTTTAAGTTTAAAATTGATATGATTATTATTTATACAACACAATATAATATATTAGCTGTGGTTGCATCATTGATCTGCACTTGGGGTCACTTTGGTTAATTCTTTTGTAGATATATGAGTGTCGCTAAAAGACCCGAAAATTTAAATATGACTTATATTTAAATTTTCGGGTTTTCTTTTAGCGACACATATATAATTATTCCAATATTACTACCAAAACGTTACTAACATATATTCTTAACAGTTAAGCAAATTAGTTTTTTTTTAAACTAAGGGGTGTATTATTTATTATAGAGTTCCAATCCGGATAAATCCGTCATCCGTTTATCCGTATCCGATTAGATAATCCAAATCGCTTGGATATCCGGATAATCCGACGGGTAATCAGATAATTATCCGAATATTAATAGTAAAACGGAATTCAGATTTGGATATCCGATGGATAAATGGATAAACGGATAATGGATAGAAACACTAATTTATTATATAATTTTTTTTATTAAAAGATCACGCCTTCTCTTTTCTAGATAATAAAATCAGTACAGTACCAGACAGTAAAACGCATCCAATGTTTATTAGTAAAA